ATAGTTTTAGGAAAGAAAGAAAAGGAAGAAGGGATTTTATTATCTCTTTCCTTGTTTGTAAGTTTAAAAAAGTGAGAGAAAAGAATTGAATAATTTTACAAAATCTTCCAAAACCCTTTTTATTCTTTAAATTAAAATTCTCTAATTTAGGGAGATTTTAACTCTCAAACAAAGGGAGAGAATACCTTACATTTTTCTTCCCTTCCCCTCTCCTCTAACCTCCTAAATGTCAAAGCCCCAAATGGGTCAAAAAGATGATTAGATCATTACACTGAAATATAGCTATGTACTTCAAAGCACGGACACGACGTTTGAAAAAAATTTGCGTGTCCGACACGTGTCCAACACGGACACGCTCCGACACGTGTCTGACACGCGATCAACATTTGGGGACACGCGGTCAACTCTCCGACATGTTTTTCGGACACGCGGTCAACGCTCGGACACGTTTTTTTTTTTTTTAAAATCTTAATTTTATTTTGTTAACTAAATATAAAAGAAATAATTTATAAATTAATTTTTTTCTGTTATGAAATTTGACATGAAAATTTAACAAAGTACGAAAAATTATTTATATTTATATTTATGTTATGAAATTTAAATATTTGATTGGTTATATAACTTATTATGGACTCTTATATGTATTAAATATAAATTATATTATATATTTTAAAAATTTTATTTAATATCAAAACGTGTTCCAACGTGTCGAAATATGACATTTTTTAGAATTAACGTGTCGGCGTGTCGTGTCGTGTCGTGTCCCGTGTCCGTGCATCATTGGCTATGTAACCATTGAAGCAACATATTTGTGGTCCTTCAATTATATCGAAAACGAATATTAACCATAAACTCAATCGCCATGGCAATTTGTGTAAGTAATTCACAGAGGCGGACACAGGGAGGGCTAGGGTTGGTCCCCCCTCCCCCCAAAATGAGGGGAAAAAATTTGGAAGTTAGAACAAGGGCATCGTGCCAGGGCAGCATGGAGTTTATTGTTGAGTTCAAGCTCTCTGTTTTCCCCTCCTCCGCCCCCCCTCTTTCTTATGCGTCATCCAACTCCGCTCTTGTTTGACTCCAACTGCAAGACTATTGTTGAGTTCCAATTATGTTTGGTGTTTGATTTTTTGCACCCCACAGCAAAAAATCCTGGATCCACCACTGATAATTCATGTCTGTGGGTTGTATTTATCTCAAGTCAATATCAGATGCATCAACTTAAAAAATAATAATAAGATACAAATATGAATATATTCAAATAGAACATGATATTAATAAAGATTTGTATCAAAACTTTTAATATAGCACAAAATATATATATATATATATATATATAGTGTTTTTGTTAGATGAATTAACGAATGGTGTTTCTATAATTTTGTTTATTTTTTTATCATATACATTTTACTGAAACACCTTTCATTAATTCCCCTAAAATTACAGAAACAACCTTCATTAATCAAAACAACGTAGTTTTTGGGTAGCTGCAGATAATCTTATCTAAAGTGAATGTAGAAATATTTTTTTCATATATATATATATCAAATAAGGGATTCAAGTGGCATTTTTATAACTACAATGAGTATATATAATACTTTGAAACCACAAAGGGTTAAATAATACATTTTTATAATCACAATGGGTTTAAGTGACAAAATTGAAACAATAGGATTCAAGTGATAAACCATGTAACCACAAGGGATGAATACAAAGTTATCTCTATTTTAAATGAAACTTAATTTCTTACATCATTCTTCTTAGTTTTTTAAGTTGAAGTTAGTATAGACTTATAAATTTTATAATTTATTTTTTACTTTACTTTTTAAAATTATTTTCTTTTGACTTATATTTTTAAAGATATTTATATAACGCTTATAAAGCCTGTTAATTATACAAAATTAACTAATAAATTTCTCATGTATTACAGGAGCATATTGTATAGGTAAGTTTAAAAAAAAAAATTGAAAACAATAGAAAGTGATAGGCTATTCTATCTACCATTTTTTCTGTCTATCTCTGCCTATCACCCTCCAACACCATTAGATCAGAATCTTAAATAATATTTATCTTTCTCTCTCTTCTTGAGATTCTGGTATCAGAGGGTGGTAGGCAGAAAAAAACAGTAGGTAGAATAACCTATCAAAATAAAAACTAGGTTTCGTACTTGTCCTTTTACAATATGCTATGTTCTTTAAAATTCTGAGTTGTGGCGTGAACAGATTAAATTCGCAATCTTGCTAGAGAGGTTTTTGAGGCTGTAAACGGATTAAATTCTTTTCGATCAGAAAAGAGACAAGTGGGGGTGGATATTAATTGGCAGTTCCCATGAGAGATTTTGTTAAGGTTGACTCTGATGGTGCAGCGCGTGGCAACGTAGGACAAACTTTCTGTGGAGGGGATATCCGTGATGTTCAAGGAAGATGGCTTGCGAACTTTGCATACGGATTAGGTGTTTGTATTTCTTTCGTTGTGGAGTCTTCTTCAGGGTTTGGAACTTACTTTATGGGTATCGGCAAGTTATTATTGAAAGTGACTCATCTTGTGTGGTTACTGTGCTCACCAACCAACTATGGTGAAGCAACTTGTGAAGGTTATTTGATTTCTCACATGTCAGCTTGGCTTCGTAGAGATTGGATCATTTTATTGAATCACACATACAGAGAAGGCAATACTTGTGCTAATTGGATGGCGAATTTTATCCTCAACAATAGCGAGGGTCTGAATCAATTTGTGAGTGGAGAGTCCCCTCCCGGTATACGTTGGGTTTATTTGGCTGATCTGGCTGCCGTGGGAAGACCACGTACGCTGGTCATTCAGTAGTTTGTTCGTCTTTTTTTTTTGTTTGGGCTTAGGCCCTCTCAACTACCAAAAAAAAGTGAGAGAAAAAATACACAACAAAAATTATAGGGAGAAAGTGAGTAGTTTTTTTAAATTAAATTTTAAATAAAAATATAGGTTTTAATTAAGGGTTCGTTTTTTCTACCGTCAATGTAGATAACTCATCTACAATGAGCCTAAAACGACGTCGTTTTGAGGCGAAAATCAAGGTATTTTTGTAATTATAATTTATTTCAGGGCTATAATAATCTTTTTCATTATAATTTTTAAATTTTTTTCAATCCAAAACGATGTCATTTTGGGAGCGATTATAGATAACTTATCTCCATTCACTTTAGAAACGTTAAAGCCTTTAATTAAAATGATTATCCTTTAAAAGGATAAATATTATACACATGAAAAATACAGGTGATTAGTTTAAAAAATTTAAATTTAAAATTTAAAACAAAAGAAGATAAAATTGAAATATGTTAAAAAAAAGAGAAGAGTAGAAAAAAAATATGCTTCTTTTAAGATATAGTACTTTTTTTATACATAAGAGTAGATATAGTACTTCTCTAAGATTTAGTACTTTTTTTTTTGGTAAACAAGATTTAGTACTTTAATCTAATATATAAAAGTATTAGAAAAAATAAATTGATTCAAAATTATTAAAATAAATCAATCAAAAAACATAAGTAATTGAGATTTAGGGAGAAAATAATTAAATTTTAACACAAAAAAGTTAAAATAATTAAATTTTAACACAAAAAAGTTAAAATAATTATTTTGCAAAATATAATAATTAATTTTATCAAAAATATTAATATTAATTAATAATTTTAAATAATCTTATATTTATTCCGAAGCCATTGACAAAAAGTGTTTCAGTTAAACTAATGAATGTTAATCATTAACACCGCCATGTGACACCATTGTATCCTTTTTTTTAATAATTAATTTATTAATTTCAACAAAAAAATTAATTAATATTACAACTCTCACCAAAAAAAAAAACACAAAAGTCAATGCAAGGTAATGCGAGAGGTAATTGATTAGCGAGTGGTCCTCTCATATTGAAATATTAGGTTATGAAAAACTTTTATGTGAATCTATCTAAGATTCAATTACCATTAATGTAAAATACCCGTTGTGGTGCATTTTCAAATTACACTTGAAGAGATGCATGTTTACTCGGTGGACAAAAACCTGCAAGTTCAAATTACACTCGTATTTAATGTGAAAGTATCAAATATAAAAAATTATAATCATATAAAGATGAAAATAAATATAAAATATTAGATATGGAGAATCATAATCATATAAAAATGAAAATAAATATAATCGTTGGATCAACATAATCAATTTAACGGTGAAATTAATTGGTAGTAACATTAATTAGTTGTTACAATATCATTCCCCTTGTGTGATTATGATTCTCCATATTTAATGTGAAAGCATTAAATATGAGAAATCATAATCATACAAAGGTGAAAATAAATATAAAATATTAAATATAGAGAATCATAACCATACAAAGATGGAAATAAATATAACCGTTGGATCAACATAATCGATCTAACGATGAAATTGATTGGTAATAATATTGATAATAACTCTAATTGGTTGTTACAATATCCTTCCTCTAACAATTAATGTTATTTCATTTTATTTGTATTATTCAGATATTTTATAATAAAAAAGATTGGACTTTTCGTTCTCAAATAAGGTCATTTTATTATATGTTATTCAATTTCATTTAATTTTTTTCCTCTTCAATTCTAAGATAGTCCACGGGAAGCGAAAGGTAAAAAAAAAAAAAAAAAAAGTCAACAACTATATTTACCCCTTACAGCAAAGAAAAACTTTTTTCCTAGTCAGCTTTAGACATAAACAGGTTTACTAAAATAATAAAGATTCAACCTTAAAAATCGCCTTGAATAACTCTTGCTTCTCATTTTGCAAAGATTTTGATTTTGTGCTATATACAACCCATGCTTACGTCAAAAATGAATAAACACCACAAAACAAGGCAAATGAGGATTTCATTTCAACATCAATTTTAGTAAATGCTGTCTCGAGCGTTATATCTATAAAAAAGTTACATTCAATTGGAGGCTTCCTCTTGTGAGAACAACGAAGGGGAAAAAAACACATTAGTGGTTCAAGGAGGTCCTGGTGCAATGGCAGGGGTCGTCGATGATGCATTACCTGTCCATGCCCAGGAACATGAATCCAAAGTTGGCATAGCTGGTAACAAGCAAACACCTTTTTTTTTATATATCATACATTGTCCTATTCTTCATTTGACTTTAGAATAATTGAATGTGAGTGTTATATGTTCATTTGAATTAAGATGATGCATTACTAGAGGAAGCAACTTTCTTTGTTTATTTATATAATATATTTTTTATGCTACATGATATTCTAAAGATTGTGTGTTGTTGCAGATGATACTGAGGTTGATGATTGTCCTATCGAGCAGGTTAGGCTAACAGTTCCAATAACCGACGACCCAACTCAGCCAGCACTTACATTTCGAACATGGGTTCTGGGGATGGCATCATGTATTATCCTTGCCTTTGTGAACGAATTTTTTGGCTACAGAACCAACCCTCTATATGTTTCTTCTGTCTCAGCCCAGATTGTTTCCCTCCCTCTTGGGAAACTTATGGCTGCAACACTTCCCACAAAACAAATTCGAGTCCCATTCACAAAATGGACTTTTTCTCTGAATCCTGGACCATTCAATTTGAAAGAACATGCCCTTATCACCATCTTTGCCAGCGCTGGATCTAGTGGTGTTTATGCCATTAACATCATCACAATTGTTAAGGCCTTTTACCACAGGAGCATCCATCCACTGGCGGCTTTCTTGTTGGCACTTTCAACCCAGGTCAACAATATAGTCACATTTTCAATTAAAGATGACTAACTAAAAAACAATTAATAGCACTTTTTTATTTTAATATGGTTAGCATGCTGAATTGTGTTCTTCAATGTGTAGATGCTTGGCTATGGTTGGGCTGGGATTTTCAGAAAATTCCTTGTTGATTCTCCCTACATGTGGTGGCCTGCAAACCTTGTCCAAGTGTCTCTATTCAGGTATTTGTTTTTAAATATTTGAGAATTAATTTTTGTTCACAATGTTATTTGAATGAATCAAGAAAATTATTTTCAAAGGAAGAGTAAACGGATGTGTCATTGACAAATAAGTCTTGAATGACAGGGCATTTCATGAAAAAGAAAAAAGGCCTAAAGGAGGAAACACAAGGCTGCAATTCTTCTTCCTGGTCTTTGCAGCAAGCTTCGCTTATTACATTGTTCCAGGCTACTTTTTCCCAACAATATCAACTATCTCCTTCGTTTGTTTGATTTGGAAAAATTCCATCACTGCACAACAGATTGGTTCAGGCATGTATGGCCTTGGCATTGGATCATTTGGCCTTGATTGGAACACTGTTGCTGGCTTCTTAGGTAGTCCTTTGGCTGTACCTGGCTTCGCCATCATCAACATATTGGTTGGATTTGCGCTCTTTATCTATATTGTGGTTCCCATTGCCTATTGGAATAATTTTTATGATGCCAAAAAATTCCCCCTCATCAGTTCTCACACATTTGACTCTACTGGTGCAACATATAATGTTAGTCGGATTCTGAATGCCAAAACCTTTGACATTGATATGGATAGTTATAACAATTACAGCAAGCTCTATCTTAGTATCACATTTGCATTTGATTATGGATTGAGCTTTGCAACTCTTACCGCTACTATTTCCCATGTTGTCCTCTTCCATGGAAAGTAAGTTTGTTTAGATCCCCAAGTTTGTGTAGTTTTCTATATATTCCATTTTGTATAATAAACCATCTAATTATTGTGGCGATTGTCTACTTCATAGAACAATCTATCAGATGTGGAGGAAGACAACAACTGCACTAAAAGGACAACTTGGAGATGTGCATACAAGAATTATGAAGAAAAACTATGAACAAGTCCCTGAATGGTGGTTTGCCACCATTTTGGTTTTAATGATTGTTATGGCCTTGATAGCTTGTGAAGGCTTTGGCAAGCAGCTTCAACTGCCATGGTGGGGAGTCTTATTTTCTCTATTAATTGCGTTGGTTTTCACTTTGCCAATTGGGGTCATTCAAGCAACAACAAATATGGTAATGTCCATTTCCAAGTAGAAAAAAATTAGACAAGCACTGCCTTGTATGGCTTTCAACATTTTTACAGTTTATTATTGCTTCAAATGATGTCTTTCTCAAAAGAAAGTAACTTGTTGTGCAGCAACCTGGACTCAACGTGATTACAGAGTTAATAATTGGGTACCTTTACCCTGGAAAGCCCCTTGCTAATGTAGCCTTCAAAACTTACGGGTACATCAGCATGTCTCAGGCACTCGGGTTTCTTGGTGACTTCAAATTGGGACACTACATGAAAATTCCTCCAAGATCTATGTTCATCGTACAGGTAGGATGTGGATGCATGGTTCGCAAAATATGAAGCATAATTCATCTAGAATTGACTTAGAATTGTGCATGCATCGTAGGAAGGTGCTTCATTTTTGGGTTTTTAGTGTGTGTCTATTTTAGTCTAACTTGTGGCAATTTTGTCTTCAGTTGGTAGGTACAATAGTTGCTTCAAGTGTCTACTTTAGCACAGCATGGTGGCTTCTCACAACTATTCCGAACATCTGTGATGCATCAATGTTGCCAGAGGGTAGTCCATGGACATGCCCTGGTGATGATGTGTTTTATAATGCTTCAATCATATGGGGAATTGTAGGGCCACAAAGAATGTTTACCAAGGATGGCATTTACCCAGGGATGAACTGGTTTTTCCTCATTGGTCTACTTTCTCCTGTTCCAGTGTGGCTGCTTGCTCGCAAATTCCCCAACCACAAGTGGATTGAACTCATCAACATGCCCCTCATCATTGCAGGTGCTAATGGTATCCCACCAGCCAGATCCGTGAATTATATTACATGGGGAATTGTTGGAATCTTCTTCAATTTCTATATTTATAATAAGTTCAAGGCATGGTGGGCAAGACATACATACATCCTTTCAGCTGCTTTAGATGCTGGAGTTGCTTTCTTGGGTGTGATGCTCTATTTTGCCCTCCAGTCTTATGATGTTTTTGGTCCAGCATGGTGGGGTCTTGATTCCACTGACCACTGCCCTCTGGCCAGATGCCCCACAGCTCCAGGTGTAGTTGCCAAGGGATGCCCTGTTCTCTGATTTCCATATTAGAATTCCATCACCTTCATTGGTCATGAAGATGTACAGAAAGTCTGAATATTTATTTACTTGGTTTCAACTTCCGAATTTCTATCTCTGCTAATGTATAAATATAATAGAAAGTTGAAGAAGATGTATGTATAGGTTGTTATCAGAGCACGCAAAATTGTTTAGATACTTATTTTATTTCTTTGATTTTATCCAATGAAATTTCCAATCAAAATGAAATCGATTCAATGACACGTCCTCAGTATCATTAGCATATACACGATAGGTAATTTCAATAAAACGTCCTCAGTATTATTAGCATACATATGACAATAAAATGCTGATTTATACAAAATCTATAAATCTGGAAGTTATTTACATTGACACGGTTACAGACCCTAATCAAACTCGAACGGTCCATATTATTCCTGAGACTTGTGAAAGTGACATTTTTCAGGAAATTTAATCATATTTACCTAAAAATAATTGTTTCTTTTTTCTTTCTGAAAATATATGCTTCTATTTTGCCCCCTTGTCACCTACAATTTAATCAATGTCCCTCGCATTCTTCGTCTGTATTTCTCAATTTTATCTTTTCTCTTGTAAAAATAAAAATACTACAAACATAAGTCTGAAAATAGAATCATTGCAACCATAAAAGCGTAGCGTAAAATTGGATTAACTAAAATAATGGAGGAGATGACTATGTTGTTTCTACCAAGTAGCAATTCCTCACAAAAAGAAAAAGAAAAAAGAGAACCGGCTCTGCAACCAAAATCCTTTACGGACGGAAGATTCTGAAAATTGTTAAAATAGGTGGCAAATATCCTGCTTAAACATCTGAAAAAGTTTCTCATAAAGCAGCGTTCCCAAGGTCAAAATCTATTCCCTAATTGTTTATAATTGAGAATCCAAAATATGCACCATAATAAGCCTGAACATCATCCACTTGCCAAGTAAATTGGGTTAAAAAGTAGACAACAAAGACTGGGATCAGTTGAAGAGCCCTGGGTTTAGCCAATCCCTGAAAACACAAACAGAATATAGATTGTGTAAAGTCATTTACAACTAACTGCACAGATATAAAAATCAAGGGAAAGAAAGAGATGCCGTAGGGCAAAAGCACTTACTTGCTTATGTCATCGAGGTGATCATCAAAATCTACAATGTCATTCCATTTCTCAGATGAGATATAGTCCAATAAGATCAGATTTGCTGATGGCTCTCTGAGAGAGAATCGACTGTTCCCATCTGACTGAACAGACTTCCAGTTCTTAGATGCATCCCTAACATATAGCTAAGCCATATGAAAAAGACAATCTTGGTTAATGTAACCAACAAACGCATGGCTATATATCATATGGAGGGAACTACATATAATAGCATAAACACTTACAACCATACTTATATAACATGTAGTTAATGAATTTCTTCTTTTACCAAAAAAAGAAAAATCTTTCTGGATGCACCATAAATTTCATAACAAGAAACAAAGAGCATGGAATCTTTTTATTTCGGACAAATGTTGAATGAAGCCTTGTACTGGCTTGAGGATGCAGCCTGTATAGCAAATCATACAACATAATTATTTTATTCACCCATTCTTCAAAATGGATAGATCAATATGCTGCAACATGTGCCGAATCAAACAAAGAATATTCCTCTCTTTTGACTAATGTTGAAAACAGACAAGGAGGGAATGAACTCAATGAAGCAAAACATTCAAGCAAGCAATTTTAAGTCTTGCCATCCAGCTGATTTACAACCAATGAAAGCCACACATCGAGATGCTAGCCCCCAATCCCAATTAAGCTTTTAGATGCAGCAGCTTTGTCTAAATTTAGAGAATATTTCACCAAAATAAGCCCCAAATCCAAGATAGGAAAACCAAAAACTATAAGCAAACTGATCATTATTGAATTCAAAAAGAAGACAGAAGATGCACATATTCTAATGAGTTCAAAGGCTTTCATGATTCCATTAAGGCTTTAATGTTTCTACATTGATTTCCGACTCAAAACGACGTCGTTTTAGGCTCAATGTAGATAAGTTATCTAGAAAAAGTGAACCCTTCCATTAAAAAAAAAGGGTTCTTCAGTTCACTCACAAAAAGCCCTTAGGATTTCTACACATTAGATATTTTAATCAAACGTATTATCTAGAGAAGCCCAAATAAAATTCATTGAGGGATAAATGCAATCTTCATATGACAAATGATTAAAAGCCTTAATGAATGATGTTTCCAATACTAATATTGCTAACCTGCATTATGGCTCTACTGTCTTTGCTCTTTTTCAAAGCTTCAAGCTTCTTGTTATCTAACTGCGAAGAATTGAAAGGAATAAATAAGATGATAAACAAAATGACATACTTCAAAGCAAAATTGGCACAAATCCCAGGGCATACCAGGAGAATGGCAGCTTGGGGAAAGTAGCGGCAGATGTGGTCACCAATATTCTTCGCCACACCACCAAGCTCATAGTCATCAGACCTCTCATTTGCGTGAAAATAGCCAACTATGTTCAACCCTTTAGCTGAATAATATTCCTCTATCTATCTCACAAACAATTGCGATTGCAAAAATTCAAAAAAATAAAATAAAAAAAATCAGAAACCACTGAGAATCTAAGCTAAACAAAATAATTAATTGTTGTTATTCAAAAGAAGATAAGCCCATTTGATTAGGTTACATGTTATTTAAGAAAACATATGTCTTTATGCACAATTTTATAAATAACCAATTGAGGTCAGAACTGAATGAGAAAAAAATGTATAAAACACTAGAAGAGAGAGAGAGAGAGAGAGGGGACCAGAATGAGAGAGATCTCCAATTGGGGAAGAAGAGAGATGTGAGAGTGGAAGAGAGGGACAGCATCAGCGATCTCGACGGTGTCATTAGACGGTGAGATGCGGCCGATCAAGACGCCGTTGACGGCGGAGGTTGTGTGTTTGAGGGAGTGTAGGACGAGCTTGATGTAAGCGTTTTGTGCGATCTCGTACCTCAGATCGCTGCTACCCATTGCTCAGATTCTCAACTCACACACACACAGGTTCCTGTCGTGAAGCCAAACAGAAGCAATCAACTATCGACTCTTGTGGACTTCTAACGATGTCGTATTATCTTGGGAGGAGGCAATGCAGGAATCATTTATTGGGATATACTATTATTGAGTATTGAGTCAACTAGGGACTAGTCACTTTGATATTTGGAAGTTCGGCCTGGGTCACTTACTTCTTGGGCTTGGCCCATGTCTATATCTAGATAATGAGTTTGTACGGAAAAGTAGAGATGGCAAACGGGTTCGGCTCGGCGGGCCAACCCGCCCCACCCGCTAAACGAGGCGGGGTAGACTGAGTTTTTCATTCCATCTAAAAAGCGGGGCGGACTCATTTTTTGGGGGTTGATGACGGGCCGAGGCGGGTCAGTGTAAAATAGGCTCGGGCTGGCGGGCCAACCCGCCAAACAGAGCGGGGCGGGCTCAGTTTTTCAGCCCACTTTCAAAAGAGGGGCAGGGCGGGCTGACTTATTTTTTGACGGGGTGGGGTGGGCTCCCCACTTTGCCATCCCTACGGAAAAGTCATTTTTTATTAGGGTAAAGAATTTTTCCGATCAATAGAGATAAGTTATCTACGGTGAGTTCAAAATGACATTATTTTGGAGAAAAATTAAGGTATTTTTGTAATTGTAATATATTGCAGGGTACATTAACCTTTATCATTATAATTTTTTAATTTTATAACCTCAAAACGACGTCGTTTTGAGTTCACTGGAAATAATTTTATCTCCAATGGCTAAAGAAATATTTTTTCCTTTTTATAATTATTTTATACTTATTTAGTAAGTTAAACTTTAAACTCTACTACAATTAATGATTTTATTAATCTCATACAATAGGAGAAAAGTCCTCTCATTATATAGACACAATTATATGTAGGACTCCAACCACTTATGAAAAGAAAAAGAAAAAAAAAGTAACACATAAATTAATGTATGTGTAGAAGAAAAAAATACTCTCCAATAACATATGAATATATTTTCCCATTAATTAATTATAATTTTAGATGCCATACATATTTGTTTCTCATTTTTTTCACAAAAAACAAGGGAAAAAATAGTGGAACAGTGACCAAAATGTCACTGTTCACCAAGTTTTTTACCTAAATACCACGCGAACAGTGTTATTTTTCAATCTGTCACGAGGGCAAGTTCGCTACCCGGTGTAGCGAACTCGGTTTGCTGACGTGTCACGTTTCTAGTGGACACCAAGTTCGCTACCCAGTGTAGCGAACTCTATACTTTTTTTTAACTTGGTACTTGTTATCCAATAGAAATGTGACATGTCAGCAAACCGAGTTCGCTACACCGGGTAGCAAACTTGCTCCCGTGGCAGATTGGAAAATAACATTGTTTACGTGACGTTTAGGTAAAAAACTTAGTGAACAATGACATTTTGATCGGTGTTCCAAAAATAGTTATCAAAGATACTGAAAGCCTTTTTCCTCTCTTTTTTATTGAAAATTAAATGATACTGTCAAAAATTGGAAGTCCCTTGTTGATATACATCATGCTTCTCTCTTTTGCCCTACTGTAGATATTTTTAATATCTTTTTCTTTGATTTTGTAGAGTCTGTTTGATATTTTTTTTAGGGGATTACTTTTCTCGTATATTATGAGAGAAGTTCGCTTATGTTAAGAGATAAATAAAGTGGGGCTCACTAATTTTTTTTTAAAAAAAGGCATATTTTTGAAAATGAGAAATTGATCTCATACAACATAAGAGTATGATTTTTCATTTTTTTAAGCTACAAATTACTTTTAAGTTAAAGTTAAAAAAATAAAAAATTATAAAATAAAAATTATTTGGTGATTCTATAAAGTTACTCTAATGATTTTGAATGAGGGAATATGAAATAATTTGTTATTTGGATGAATTATTCAGACAAAAGATAAAATCTATAAGTACAAGTTTTGAATAAAGGTAAAATCTATAAGAAAAATTATGAAAACTCCAAAAAAAATTAGCACACATCTTAAAAAAATAAAGGCTTATTCTATGAGTTTTTAGCTTTTAATTTTTTTTTGGTTATAAAAAAATGAAAAGGTTAAAAAAAAAGCTACCGTAGTTTACTCTTTTATCATTTAGCGTCTATAGTTTATTTTTTTATCACTTACCCTCACATAGTTGTTGTAATCTAGATTCATCTTTAACACTGTTAAAAATAAAATTAATTTATCTATTTTACCCCTGAAACTAGGGTTGTAAAAAACGAGCAAATCCGTTGAGTTGGCACGTAACTTGTCAAAAATGAGCCAGGTTGGGTTGGCAAAAATGAGCTGCCAACTCTACCCGAGCCAGTTCGAAAAAAATAAGCCAACCCGCGGGTCAAACGGGCCAGCTCGTGGATTGAGTTTTATTTTTTAAGTACAAAATATAATATACAAAATTCACACATGCTGTCATCGTCTTTCTTCTTTCTCTAAACTTAAGTCTATAATCTTCTCACATCCCTGTCATTTTTATACTATTAGGCTATGCTGGCTCTGTTGGTTCAAAATATCTTACCCACTTGGTAGCAAGTGGTTCTGATTATTTCTTGATGATGGTGCAAATTTATTGTGAAGAAAATTCAAAACTAAAATATTTTGTTTTTATTTCTTTAAGCTAATGGAAGTCACGTAACTGGTGCATTAATACTATAAGTTCATTTAAATAGGCTGAAAACAAGCCAATCCGAGAGTAATTTTTGAGCCAACTCGCGAGCTATATTTTTTAGCCAACCCTAACCCAACTCGGGTTGGGTCGGATTGAATTTTCTTGCTCGTTTTTTTTTTCAAGCCAACCTTAATCCAGCTCATTTTTTTCGAATTGCATACGAGTTGGACCGGGTCAAGCCGAGTTGGCCCGTTTTACCAGAAATTGTCATGTCTTCAACTAAGATTGCATCCAGGATCGTTTAACTTCTTTTGTTACTGGTTCCACCTGTCTACATAGTTGAAGCCAAATTGTGATAGAATAGTCATTGTAATTTTGGCTTAGACAAAATTTTGATTAAGTGTCATTTGGATAGCTTATAAAAAAAAATATTTTTTGTGTCTTAGTTATTTTAGAAGTGTTTTTTATAAAAGTTAAAATTATTTAATTTTTTTTAAAAATATTTGACTTTTAATTTCTTGTTTTTTTAGAAGCTGAAATTTTTAGTTAAAAAAAAAGGACAGTTTTTTGACTTTTTTTCTATAATTTCTATTTTTTTCTAAAACAGACGTCCAAGTAGATTTTTATGAAAAAAATAGCTTTTTTTATAAATAAAAAAAATAAATCCAAATGGGTCCTGATAAAGTGCCGTAACTTTTGTTAAAAGTACGCCTTAAAAAGCATACGTTGCTTTTAGTTAAAACTTTTAAAAAATTCCATTAAAACAAGTGTATTAAGCTGAAGGAACAATTTTGAGTGTAAGTTAGAACTACCAAACAGATAGAATAATTAGAGAGAAAATATGTATTATTATTCATAGTTGAAGTTGTGTAGCATTTATAGTCATTACAAAAGAAGGAAAAAGTGCCCAACACAATTGTGCTAGTTGTGATATACTATTTTCGTTTTTTAATCGTATCTATAGTTTAGTTACATACACACACCCTCATATATATATATATATATATATATAAGAAAATATTATATTTACAAACTTTTTTGTTTATAAATTCTTACAAACTACACTATCTTCTCTCGGGAGAAGATAGTGTAATTTGTAAAAATTTATCAAAATTTTTTATAAACGAATCATTCCCTGTATTTATATATTCTGTGATTTACTCTCCCCTTTGCCACGCTTTGTTATCACCGTCTTCTCTTCACAACAAAAACAGTTAATTAGTTAGCGAAACAAAGGATAGAAACACACAGAAAATGGTTACATGACTTGGAAGGATGTGCGTGCCACTTAGGAGGTTAAGAAGAACAGTTTCAGAGCTGTAAATGACATTTTTAGGGGATGAAATAGGTAAATTAATTTAAATTTTAATGGTTTTAAAATATGGATTTTGATAGAAAAAATCATAAATAAAAATTGATAAGAAAAAAACTATAAACGATAAAAGAGTAAATCATAGGGCTTTTGAATTTTCCCCTAAAAAAAAACTCTTTTTATCATAAGAATGTTTATAAAATTATATTTGATTACACTTCTGTTTTTTAAAGAAAATATAAGCTAAAAATAAGATATGTCAAATAGGCACGTGGGGAATTAACTTACATATTTTGTTAAGGATAAGGAATACTAATTTTTTTTCACATTTTTTTAGCAAGTACATCTTTTGTGATTTAAAAAATTTAAATTAAAAAAATGTACACGTCTAAAGAATTTTGTAAAAATTTATGAAATTCGTAAAGTTATGATATGAATTAAGAAACCTACAAATATATAAGTTTTAAAGATTAAGGATATCTGCTTAGATACTAACGAAGCTTGACTGAAAATAGAAATATATAACCGATAATCTAGAAGTGTAAAAGTTTGTCCCATTACAAGATAAGATATATAAGAGAATTTTGATATATGTCATGCTTTTTGAGTCTACACTTTTTTTTATTGTTATTAACCTTTCTTTTATGCTTGCTTATTGCAATTTTAAAAAGGAAGTGTTAGTAAGAGATATAAGAAAAAATCGTGTTATAAAAAGGGTAAGAGAAAAAAAAGTAAAGTGGAATTTGGTTCTCATTATTCAACTATTTTTCAATATAATTATTACAACCATGAATAAAACAGTTAATGCTCCATGATTATAAAATTATATATAAATAATAATTCTTTCATTAATACCGACGGTTATAAAAATTAATTTTTTTAAATTTAAGTTAAACAAAAATTAATATTTTATAACAAATCACTGCAATATTTAATTTTTTTTCCTTACTAAATCGTCTACTCACCATTCGATTCACCTATAAAAAATCAATCTAAACACGTACAAATAAGCACAAAAATATTAATTAAATTAAATAATCATAGATTAATAAATTAAAGGTTTTATACATAAATTGGCCGGCTGAAAGCCTTTCATTCTCCAACAATGCAGTACGCAAAGTTTTGGAAACACCTTTTGTTTTTCTTTCAATTTTTATGCTGCATTTTAAATTTAAATAAAAAATAGCAATTAATTTAAGTCAAAATTATTTGTATCTAAAAACTTTATCTCGAAATTAATCGAAAATTCCTATCATATAGAATATATTATTAATTATTTAATACTTAATTATTATACTTCAAGTTTAACATAATATATGTTTTCAAATATATGTAAAATAAAAATTATTTTATTATTATATTATTATTAGTATTCAATTTTTACAAGATTTAAGATACAAATAATTAAGATAATAAATAATTACGACCAAACGATTGAATTGATCAAAATCACTTTGTAATAAAATTAATAAATGATGTTAGCTTACCAAAAAAAAATTTAATTAATGATGTAAGAATATTATTTGATAAATTTTCTTCTTAAAGGATTTCTTATTGAAGGAGATAGTTAAAATATTATATAATATATTAATTTTAACGATGTTCTAAAAAATAATTTATTTTATTTTATTTTCTGAGTATAATAATTAATATAAATAGACCTTTATATTTTTATATTTTGAGACATGTAATAATACAGATAAATAGTATTTTATTTTCTCCCGTGGCCTCGCTCTTTATTTTATATATATTTAAAAAAAAAAAACAATAATGATTTGGTCCATATTTATGTATTGTATGATTCAAAGTCATTGTCTTCTCTCTCTCTCATAAGTCACACAAAAACACATACACAGAGACTGTCCCTCCCTTCTGTGTTACAGAAAACGTAGGGAAAAACATGAACGGCGGCGGCGGGTCTAGGGTTCCGATCCCCACCAATGTACGGAAAATCATCCAAGACATCAGAGAGATCACCGTAAAACAGCACACCGACGATGAAATCTACTCCGTCCTCAGGGAATGCTCCATGGATCCCAATGAGACCGCTCAGAAGCTTCTCTATTTAGGTTTTTCCTTTTCTCTATCTCCCTCTTCTTCTCATTCCCATTTCTCTCTCTCTCTCTCTCTCTTATAATACCATCCACTTTTCACTTTGCATATAATTTCTCTTTTGTTTTCTTCGCCTCGCAATCCATCCCCACTGGGATTTCTTCTTTCTTTTCCTCCCATCCTTTTTTTGTTTAAATTTTATATTGATTCATAGTGTTTGTGATTATTATAAATTGAAGGTAATGATTGCAAGTTTGAAGCTTGACTTGTGTATTAGTAAAGCTAGTGATGATTGTGGAAGTAGAGTTGATACTATCAATTTAATTCAATATATTTGTTTATTTTTATAATTTTACTGCTTTTTGATTTATACTAAGCTATGGAGAGCTGCGTGTGACTCTTTGGACATCAAAAGTTCGATTTTTTATTGTTCAAAGCATGGAAACAAGATTGAAAACAAGGAGATTGTATATCAGTACTTCAGTGAGATAAAAGTTAAAAGACTGGGATTTACTTTCGTCCGTTGGGTTTCTTTGTGTGATGAGGACTTAACTGTAGTACTTAATCTAATGTAGTTGTTATTAGCTCACACGTGTTTCTTAATTAATGGCTTAAGCCCTCTATGCCCTGTACTCACTTATTATATCTAGAAAAGAAATGTGGTTATTTCATCTTTGAGATTCTGTCGTTTTTAATGTTCCTTATTGTGATGCGTTTGTTGAGTTATTTATTTTTTGTTCACAGATACTTTTCATGAGGTAAGAAGGAGACGCGACCGAAAGAAGGAGGTAAGAATTTTTTTCCCCAATTTAAAGTTCTGCACTAATTCCCCCATTACCTGCTATATTGTTATATTTCATTTGGTTTTAACTGCCCTCGAAAGTTGAGTTGCTGAATCAGATTAATTTTTTACCTAAACAGAAAAGTGCCAACTTCCACTTCTTATGCTAAAGTGTAGATCGATTGTTATATTTCATTTGGTTTTAACTGCCCTCTAAAGTCAAATTCTAGTCATTATTTTGATTGTTTTAAGCTGCTAGACAACCTCTTACTATATCATGAGCTGCCATTTTGTCAGCCTATGGACAGAGTAATTGGTAGACTCCAAGTTTATATAAAGATAATCACTTTGTATGAGTGTCTGAATATGTGTGGTTGTAATAGGTATTTGATTCGTGCTTGTTGAGAAGTATGTAGTCATACAATATTATTTGCTGAGATTAAAAGACCAAGGTTTTTTTTGTTGTTGCTTGTATATGGGTTATTTTCCCTTCGTACCTTTCATTTGGGTTCATTTACCACCGTCTCCAATTAATTTGGGATAAAAGTGTTGTTGATGTTGATGTATGTGGGTTATTTTCCCTTCGTACCTTTCATTTGGGTTCATTTACCACCGTCCCCAATTAATTTGGGATAAAAGTGTTGTTGATGTTGATGTTGTTGTATATGGGTTATTTTATGTGTGTTTTTGTAATCGAATATGTCTAGTTGTAAGTGAGTAAATGTGCTTGTATTTTTCTGTCCTTTTCTCTTTAATATTTATTAGCTCTGAGTGATTTGTGTATAAGTTGATCGTTGCAGGGATTGAGCAACAGGGCTGCTGAGGAGTCTAGGTTAAAGCAAGGTGGACAAGGGAGGGAGGGAAAGGGTGCTTCTGGGGGCTATTCCTCCAACTTTCATGGTACGGTTTTCCCAACTTTTTAGAGGCTTGACTTTAGGCTTTGTTTTTATTCTCGTTTGTTTTTTTATGGAGATCTATTTCCACAAAGGTCACCTGGAAACCATCTTTCTCCAAAACAAAAATACTTTTGGAATGCCATCAGTTTTATGTGCTTTTTTTAAGATCATAACACATAATTCTTTCCTCTCAAAATAACTTGTTACTGAGATCTTCTATCTGAATATTGATAATTATGCTTTTATTTTGCTGCTGCATGAGCTTTATAATGTCCCTTTTGAATCCAGCAGGATGAGATAAAGTAGCTCCCTTCCCACCTCTTATCTTTTGATGCTGTTGCAAATTTCTTTTGCATTGACTATTCAGAATATGAACTGTTTTAATACAGAGACTGTCCTATAAATCAGAAATTTTCCTGCTACTTGATTAGCTTGTTAGTTGTTACCTTGTCTTGTAAATATCTCTTGTTAGATGGTGGTGGTGGGAGGAACCTTGCTATTCGAAGGGAAAATGGAGTTAATCACATTGCAGAGAGAATTCATGGTCCCTTTACTCAGCCAGATTTGCAGAAAAAAACTAATACAGCATCTCAAGCCATGAGGTTGTAATTTTGCTTATTTTTTCTTAAGTTGTTTATGTCACCAGATTCTCTGATTATGATAAAATGTAATGGTGGAAATAAAAGGCTTATTTCTTTCTTATTTATTTGATAAAGAGCAAGGCAAGACAGAGAAATAACTAAAAGAATGAAAGACGTCAATCTTGTTTTTGTTTGTTTGTGCCTAAAATTGTAACCAAATCTCATATCGAAGTTATACTGCTAAATAACTTTTTATAGGGTAAACTTAAAAATTTAATATTCAATCTAAAGACCATATCATGTAGAGTCATGCGTAAAATTTCATGTTAATTAAATACCTTTTTTTATTGTTTCACAACTTTAATGTATAATAACTGCAATGAAGTAATTGTCTACTTGATTTTTGAATTACTGATAACCAATTTGTTTGAAATTTGGCTTGCACTATCAACTTGATAATTTCTCAGGATTCTACAATTGGATTGCTAAAATTCACATTTTATATGAAGTTGTTCGTTGGTTTGTGATGAGTATTACACCAGTGTCAGTATTGACATAATTGCTTATTCTTTTTATAGTTACATGTATCCTCTTTAGAACCAATTTTCTTCAACTGCAGAGTTTCAGCTGTTGCACCCCAAGGTGCTGCAAATCAATCCAATGGGAAGTCGGGTCATGGTTCTACCAGCCAATCTCTCATAGCTAGTGTCATGAGTGTCCCTAAAAGCAGTTCAGCTGCTAATGACACTAGCAATCAAGAAAATGTCCAAACTCAAGCTGTTGGTGTTGCGGCAGCCTCTTCCCCTTCTCAGACCTTTGGCTCAGTTACCAGCACTGATCAAGGGAAGTCTCTGTCAAGTTCTGATCAACTTCAAACTTCTGTGTCTGGTGTCTGTTCCTCTTCTTTGGATTCTGTACTGGCACCATCTATGTCTGGGAACCCTTGTGTTAGTGGTGCTATTAGTAGGGAAGTTGGAAGTAACCGGATATCTGCTGGACCAAATCATGTTAAAGGTAACAAAGTTGTTCTTCAAGAAGTTGCTGATCAATCAGCATCCGATAATGAAAAATCTGGGTCTATCAATCCAACAAACGAAACAAACCCACCACAGAAGTCAAATGGAGTTGAAACTAATCGGTTATCTGAGCCCTCACAACTCTCATCTTCATCCCTGAATGGTTCTTTGAAGCCAACTTCCAGTTGCGGTAGCCAACCACCTCCAGGTAAAAATTTTACTCTATATTGTTGAATCTTATTAGTAACAGTAGTGCTTTACATATCTTGTTTCCCTTTATGCACTTCCTGGCATTGGTAGAATTCTTGAATTTTCTAATCAAAACAATTTTACCAAATTGATATTACCATGTGTCCCCGTAGTTTAGAAAGGAAGACAATGTCAATTCTCATTAGAGGAAGTGAAATAAAGCCCACAGGATAAGGAGAAAATAAGTCTAGGAGAAGAACCTATGAAACCGTTCCTAAAGATATTTTAAAGGAGAAGCAGCCTGATTTAGCCTATAAATTTAAACAAGCCCTGCCATTCATGTTTGAATTCTGCTCCCATGAGGTAGCCCCCAAAGTTGGCTTGCTGAGATGCTCCATTCCACATTGGAACGAATCATCCTGATAAAATCAAGAATCACCTAAAATTTTCCATGTTTATCGGTAGTTTTCCTATATTTTTTCTCTCAATTCTTTCCAATCTTTTCAACTTCAGAAGCTTGTGCGCAGTCTTCAGCTGAGTCGAGGCAACATGTTACTTTTCCAAACCATTTTCAAGTACCTGAGTCTTTAAAAAGTGGTCTGACATTTGGAAGCTTTGATACTTCTGGCCAAAGTGAAAGATCTAGCAATGGGACTGGTGGTGACAATAATACTTACCCTGCTCTTGAATCTTCCCTTGGAAACAACGAAGCTGCTACTTCTAGGTTTGTAATTCATATTCTTCCTGGTGCCTTTCTTTGCATATCAAATTGCAGTATCTCATTTTTTTGTCCCTCTCATGCCATTAAATGGTGTTGAAATGATGTATGGTTGGGTTAACTTTCAAAGGTGCAAGGTTCTCTTCGGAGATAGTATTTTACCTCTTTCAAGGCCCTTTGGCAATCATAGGGCTGGGTTGTCGTTGTTTTCATGAATTATTCTGATTGGATTAATTGATTTCTCTTCCTGTAACCAAAGGTATTACTTGTGTCTTGGTGTGATCCTGTAATCTCTGTTTTGATGGTATTTCATATTTCAATGTAGCAACCAAAGTTCTTCATTTACTGCAAAAGGAGATCATCTTGATTATCCACATTCTTCATCTTATCTGATTGAAAAGGCTCCAGTTTCAGAAGCCAATTCTAGCATTGGTACTGACTCAAAGGTTGATCCTCCAAAGCAGGAGGTACTATTGGCTCCTGAAGGCCACCCAATTCCAACTGTTCAAAGTGCTCAAAACTATGGTTTGAATTTCATGTCCACCATGTTAGGGACTCAGCAAGTTCAATTTGAGGGAATTGAGCCTCACGCCCCAGAAGCATCTCGTTTTCCCAACTTTGTTGTAAGTTTCTTTGTCTTTTACTACTTAAGATCTACGTCTACCTTATATTTTATTAAAACTATATCTCCCTATCTATTAATATTCTCTTTTTAGTTTGGTGCTTTGACATTGGCTTTTTTTTTTTAAAATATTTTTATGCATTTATCAAGTTGGAAAGATTAACAACTGTTCTCTGAAATTTCTTTGCTCTTATGTTCGCATTTGTTTATTTTGTATTTTTTAGGATATATCTTTGTTTTTCTTTATACTTGAAGCTATTTGCTCAGGGTTGATTTCTTTACACTTTTACCATTAGATCTCGTATGCCCTTTTAAACACAAGAAATGAAGTTTAGTTTTGCATTGAGTTTTTTTTTTTTTTTTTTTTTTCTCCTCTATGAAATTTATTGGTTTTCCTTTCTATATATTGTTGGATTTGTAGTTATGACTGTATCTCTTTCATTTATATGTTTTTTAATTTTTCCTTATGTTTTCATCATTCTTTTCATATTGCAGAGTGCAAGTTCCCAGTCTGTGTCCCCTAGCCCAACTCCACCTCTGCAAAGTTCTATACCCGTGTCTCCGCAGTCAGTTTCTATTTTCAGGCCACCTTACCCTCCCTTCTTCCCATATGGCCACTATTACCCCCCAATTTATGTGTCTCCGATACACCAATTTTTAAGCCACAATGGTTACCCTCAACAGCCATCAGCTGGCAGTATGTATCTACCAACAGCAGCTGCTGCTGCAGCTGCCGGGATCAAATTCCCTCTTCCTCAATTCAAGGCTGGAGCAAACACAGGAAATACAGCTCATATTGGAATTCCTTCTGGATCATTTATCTCTCCACCTGTTGGATATGCGCCTAGTCCAACAGCGAATTCTGGAAGCTCCACTGGAAATGAGGATCTTGCAGTGTCTCAGTTGAAGGAAAACCAGATCTACACAACTGGGCAGCTGGTTGGTTCACTTCCTTATTATTGTGATTTTGTTTCATTCATGCCTATTTCTTGATAAATAGGAGATTGTTATGCTGTTATTGTGGGTCTTTGGCTTCAATAGCATCAATCTTATTTTATTGTTGAGTTTACATTTGCTTCATCAACATGTATCGAAATTCTTGGATTTGTTGTTCTTTCTAAGCTTTTTCGGTTTTTTACTGTATATTTTTTTTGCTGCAGAGTGAAGGTTCTGCTGTGCGGATAACTGCACCAGGCCAAGATATATCAAGTTTGCAAGTTAATTCTCTGTATAACCTTACCCCTCAGGGACAACATCTCACCCTCCCCCCAACACAGGCTACCCATGGTGCATTTGCTGGTATCTATCAACCAGGGCAGACTGTAGCTTCACCTTCGACCCTTTTGCAACAGTCTCAGGCTGTGGCTGGGCCTGTTGAAACTATAGGGCCCCCTTCAGGATCTTATCAGCAACCAAAGCCTGCACAGATCAATTGGAATACTAATTTCTAGGCTTGAAAACATTTTCTTGGTGCCTTAATGTTCAAATGCACATATTATGTGCTCAAATCCAGGAAGTATGAACACTGGCCTGATCTGAAGTGTAAATAAGAATTGCGGCCAAAGAATGGGAAAAGAGAATTAGTAACTCTAGTGGTGATATTTGGTGCTAACGATTTTGAAGGGTGCTAATTGCTGGTTTTCTTTCTTTATTTATTTTTATTTTGAGCTTTCAATTTATTTACCCCTCACCTGTTCTTTTGTCCCTCAGAGAACATTTAGTGGTTGCTATAAGAAACTTAGTCTTTCCTTGTCATATTATATACTAAGCCAAGAGTTCAATAGAGCTGGTGAGATTTACCAATTTTTCCGTTTTGAATTCTCACCTGTATATTACAATTTGACAGCAGAGGATATTGAGTTATATAGTTCTATTGATGCATGAGAATTGTGTCATCAATTTTTCTTCTATAGCACACTTCATGCCTCCCTGTTGATAATGGGTTAGACAAGTATTTGCGTTTATGTACTTTAGTTATTATCTAACCTGATTTTGCATGGGGGGAGTGAGCAATTTGATGGATTTATTGTCTGATTTCATTTGGTTTGAAAGTAAAAAGTGCTAATTTCTATCCTGCATACTGTTATCAATTTTCATACACGGTAGTCGGTCAGGAAATTTGACTTTTTTTTTTTTTTTTGAAAATATAAATGTGACCTTTTGGTTTTGTTACTGAACCACGAATAATGTTCATGAATAAAATAATAGTCATCGGTCTCTTTCAACACATACAGAGAAATTAATGGATCGTGCAGGTGTGCTCGTGTGTATTGTGACAACTTTTTTTTTGTTTTTTTTGAATATATATTGTGACAACGTTCTTGAAACCTTATTATTCCATCTGGACTTTTCTTTTCTTTTCCATTTTTATTGCTAGGCTTACGTCTGCAAAAAACGTGCTTGATCCTTATGTTTTAAGAAACATCTCTCAGGATGTATGGTAGTCCATGATTCCTGAAACTTACCTAAGATGCGTGCTAAAGCCCTTGAATATCCATTAGGTGAGCCTACAGTTTTGCTTTAACAAATAAAGATGTGTGGATTTGAGTTAAGCCATCCTTTAAAAATCTCAACGAAGTTTCAGTGATTGAATTACTGTTGCTGGCTTGTCTATACAAAAAGGCTTGCTGCACAGTGTAAATGGACCTGAATTGCATAACCAAGGACATGAGATGAGTGTCTGAAAAATTTGTTTTCTTGGCACTCATCGATTATAGGACTCAGACAACAACGGTGGTAGTATTTACATTCAAATCTGTGTTGTCTTCACTAGTTGATTTCGGCTTCGCTGAAGGCAAGATTTGCTTAGGAATCTGCTTGCTGGTATTTTCTTGAGACTCTTTCAAGTTCAATGTTGTATAAACTGTCATTCCAGAGAGAGCAACAACAGCCCCGCCAATGCTCACAACCCCAGGATCTGAGTTGAATATTAGATAGCCTCCCAGCAGAATGACACAAGTTTTAAACTGTCCTAAAACAACATGGGTTGTGGCAGAAGTGGCCCTGCGTGGATTCATAATGTGATGTTAGCTAGCTAATCTTAACTTTACTCCTGCAAGGCGTAACAATATTAATAGTATTATGTGCCATAAAGGGTTTAGCACTGTATCTTGCTATTGGAAGAGGAAGGTAGTCTCACCCTAATGCCAAGGCACCTGACCACTGTAAGAGAAAACCAAGAAGAGCAGATATCAAAATGGTAGTTGAGTTGTTTACATCCCACTTGAAGGACAGGACTCCTGGTGGATCTATCCAGGGCATCAATGCCCCTAGGAAGAAGACTGTGACCGGGGTAGTTTTCCACATCAACCTACAATGATAAAGTTTAAAGTCTGAGTATTGACAAATTAATTTTGCCAAGGAGATATTGGTGTGACTACAAGTACTTACGCCAGAGCTGTCCAGTTTCCTTCTTGTTGTAAAGTAGACCATAAAATCTTATTTATGGCACTTGGGATTATCCAAACAATTGCAATTATAGCACCAAATAAATTGAACTCTAAATCTGTTACAGTTGCAACTGCTACACCTACTGATACGACAGCCAAAGCCAAAACCTGCATCATTGCAATGACATGATCAGTGCATAAAAAATAAAGAAGGAAGTGGTATAGTCTTTTTTTTTTTAACATATTTGAAATGCTTTATATAGAAGAAAAGAAAAAAAGAAGAAGGGAAGGAGTATATTTCTTGACCTTTTTAGAAGAAATGGTTTTTCTAAAAAGGATGAACTCCGCAAGAACAATTGTTGGTGTAACAGCAATCTTAGCCATTTGGTAGAAACCAACACTGCATGAGCTGGATTGTCAGCAAACAGGAAAGTTGCAAATATTTTATTATGAATATGTTAAAGCAAGAGCAGGAACCTGTTATACTTGAGGCTGGTGTTTGCAAGGCCAGAGGCAAAAGCCATAACAGCACCAAGTGCAAACAGAGAAGAGAATGGAGTTGTTTTAGATGGAGGGGAGACAGGAAGCACCGAGAGTGCCTTGAAAATGGCAAGGAGAAGCCACGCAGTGATGTAGTGAACAAATGTGAGGAAAATTGGGAAGTTGAAGCCAACTTTCCCCATCACCTGTTAACACAGTTATATATACGTGTAAGGGTGCTAATGCTTGATCATATTGTAGAGAGAAGCTGGTTGGGGCATTTCATCCTTCCCAAAAAGCCATCACAATCACATCATAAAATACATGCAATAAAAGAAGCAAATTGTGCCTACCAATTTGTTTGCCATGATAATCCCAACTGCAACGATAAAGTTGAAGGACAATGCCACCATTGGTCCACAATATCTTTGCTGTTGGCGCTTTGCTCCATCTGAGGTTCGGAGCTCACTGTAGAGAGAAGCTCTTAGCTCTTCCAGTGCTCTACCTGATAATTTAAACTATGAGAACTGATATTAGCTGAAGAATACATCAAGTCAAATTTTACATTGGTATTGGGAACACGTTTATTGGCATCAATAGTAATGAATAATATCATCCAATCATTTCATTGCAAATGTGAAACTTGAAAAGTTAGCTGTGGAAATAAAAGAACTGCTTTATGGTTCAACAGAAAAAAGAAGAATGGAGCAGTAAAGAGCAAAAGCTACAGAAGGAAGAGTGAAAACAAGATGAATTACTGGAGACAAATCATGTATTTTCATTTCATGATCCTCATTTCATATTTGCCAAACATATAGCTTCAGATAATTTACCAAGTGGTTCTAAAAGATGATCGAAGTGGTGTCCACTTTTGGAATTGGCTAGTGAGAGCATCAACCAAATTTGCAGAAAAAATAAACAGCACTATCAGTTCAATTCAAAATGGAAATTGGTCTGAGATAGTCTTTATGATCTGTAGCACCATGTGATGCAATTATGATAGAGCATGACATAAACTATAATGGTTATGAAAGAAGAAAAAGAAAAGGAAAAAGCTTATATTACAATCTTGTAATTGAAGATTGTTACAACCAGACTATCCAATGATTTTAAACGATAAAATATAATCTCAAACAAGATTAACGCAAGAGTTGAAATATATCCATCAAGACTTGAACATAACAAAAGTTCAAAGGCCAATACAAGAAAAATGAAGAATAAGGAAAGATATAAAATTACTCTTCTGCATCCAATAAAACTCAGTTACAATCGAACCACACCATACCAACAAAGTCCATTGCTAAGGAATTCAGAAAAGACCTGCTTCGCCTGCATCACTGTCCTTCCTTTTAATAAACTTTCGTCGTCCTCCTCCCCACAGTGAATCCAACCACCCCATACCAATAAGCTTGCTTCACATATTTAATCAGAATGCCAAGCACCCTTTGTAAAACACGATTCTGTACCAATCACATAAAGAAGCCAAAACAAAAAGGCAAAGGCAAAGGCAAAAGGGTCATGTAAATATGAATTAATTGGCCAAGTTGCTTAAAATGCAATCAATGTAGGGGTGTCTGGAATCAGAAGATTGCCATTCTTCAAAGAGGGGTTTTTTCAAATACGTGAAAAGAAAAAGAAAAAGGGAAGTGAAGGAAATATGGTTTGTTTTCGATGAGAATATTGCCTTTAATCTGAGGGCAACGTGTTTCTCAACTCAAAGTGGTAGAACTCGAGGTGAGGGTATTAGTAACACCTGTCTGTCATGTATACTAGGAATTGATGTAACTGTTGATTTGCGGGGAAGTTAAGGTAACATCATAAATATTGTTATATCATTAGGAAACAGTCAAGACACCTGTAACAACTACCGTCAAGTATTCTTTTAGGTGAGATTGTCCTCGTTTCTGATAAGATATCATTCACTAAACTAAAATGCAGATATTGCATATATCCCAACAACTTGTTGGTAGAGTTAACCGTTTTTTCACTAAACCTGATGTAATGCTTCATCTTTTGCATAACAAATTAAGCAGCACTTCTTCATTTAATTAGTTCCAATCTATAGGCACAAAAATGTGCATTATATAAAATTTAATAAAGGATTTTTTGTTTATAAAATAATATTTTGGATTTTTTATGTAAATGAAGTAGCCGTCTAAATTGTGGCATTCAAGTTGGATGATCAATCAAAGGGTTTAACTTTTCTTATGTTGTAGGATTGTAGGAGAGAAAAAAAAGTAGAGAGAAATTAAATGTAGGTCCCATATTTTATATTAAAAAAGAAAAGAAAAATTATTTGGCACGAAAAACGAATTTGTGTAGAAAAATGAGAGTATCTCATGTGGCATGAGAGTATTATTTCCCTCAATCAAATTAATAATTGTTTGATTAAATTTGCTTTGATTGGTGTGCTACTTTTGCTTAAACATATGTTTATATGTAATGATGGCTGAGATGCTGCTATTCCAAGAAATGAAACTTGTATAGTAGCACCAATAAGGGTTTTTTTTGACCCTTTTGTCCTTCATTAATTAATTAATAATCGTTTTGTCCCTGATTCAAAACTATCTACCAATCTGCCCCTCTTTAATCGATTAACTTGCATTTTTAATCGATTAAATGGTTGTTGGGAGATTTAATCGATTAAATCCCCCTACTTATCCAATTAAAAAATTATATTGACTTGTTTTCCTTTGTTACCTGTTGGAAGATTTAATCGATTAAGTAAGGAGATTTAATCAATTAAATAGGGAGATTTAATCGATTAAATCTCCCAACAACCATTTTGCCTGTTTTGACCATTTAATCGATTAAAAAATACAAGTTAATCGATTAAAGAGGGACAGATTGGTAGATAGTTTTGAATCAGGGGTAAAATAATTATTAATTAATTAATGAGGGGTAAAAAGGTGAAAAAAACCCACCAATAAGGGTCTATTTCGATGATCTTTTGAAAATAAAATACTTTTTATACATTGATTTTTTTAAAAGGTAAAATTATTTTACATTTGGATATTCGATTTGAAAATCACTCTTATATAAAAAAGTTATTTGGATGTTAAATTAAAAAAGAACTTTTTATATATAAAATTACAAAAAAATCTATAAAAAAAATTTTAACAAATTTTTGGGATTTACGCAAATAAAATTTGAAGAATATGATTGCAATATCATAAAAGACTTTCCACGAAATGCTCCAATGTTATAGGAAGATATTTGATTGTAAAATGTTAGGTTGTTGAAAGACTTAACTAAAAAAATACCCGAATCGAATTAGTTGTGAAGTAATGAATCGATTAAAATATTTTCAAAAAAAAAAATAGCATGATAATAAGAGATAAAATAAATATGACAAGACAGGGTTAAAATTGTATTTTCAAAATTTATATAATCTTTAGTGTCTGATTTTTTCAAAATTAATCAACTACCGGCTAAAAAAATAACATTTTAACTTTTATTTTAAATTTTACTTTTTTAAAAAATTATTATCTAAACATCTAAAAATTTTGTTATGGGAAAGGTTGAACCCTTTGAGTGCATGAAGCTCTCCAATAACATTGGAAATCTCTCCTTCAAATTTGTTTCTTGATAAATCAATATTCATGAAGATTGTTGGGATTTTCACGAGCGTGATACTGTTCTCTTTTAATGTTACAATCATAGAATCAATATACACAACACCCTCAGAATCACTGTCATTAATAGAGCTAAAATATGTTTCCATGTATTGTAAACTGCTATCCACTTTCTTTAAAATTCAATGACCAATCAAATGAATTATTTTCTAACCCTTCTAGACGCTAACCAAAAGTCTTTGTCGTCATTAAATTAAAGTCTTTCCATGTTGGCAAGGAGTGATTTTCTCCTTCATTACCTCAAATAAAAGAGGTAACATTCCTTACCCAATCGCTGTAAATAAACAGATTTAGGATAAGATTTGTATAAATAATTTATCAATTTAATCCAAAAATTTATGTTGTTAAGTGATGTTACGTTAATGATTTTATATATTTTTAGCACGCCACCCCACATGAAAATACAATAAACTTCAAGGTGACAATACAGAGACTCACTTATCTGTATTAAAAAAACTCCATAAAATTTAATTAATTATTAATCAAATATGGAGCTATGAGGATCAAACTCGTAATACCAAAATTCTGATATCATGTAAAGAACTAATTCAACCAACAAAATTTAAGTTATTGAGAAATGTTACATTAATAATTTTTATTATATACATTAATAACTTTTTATTATTCTCTAACATTCCACATATAAAGCATGCATGACTTGAGTTCTTATTTAGTTTTTGTCCAATTTTGACGCATTTATTTATGGGAAAAATTTTCTCTTATCAGTGACTCATAGTACAAGTGGAGTTTATAAAATAGTAGAGAGAAAAAAAAAATTAAAGTGAATTCACTTATGCTATGAGTCACTAATAGGAGATTCTCTTTATTTATATATATACGTCAATTTATCCCATTAAATGGGTCACAGACCAATCAAACAGATAAATTTCCTAATTAACCCTTCCACAGGCTAATCTGAAGTCTTTGCCGCCGTTAAAGTCCTTCCACATGCATGTTGAATTTTCTTTTCCGAAATCATTTCTTATTGTCAGAAGGTGAGAGTGAATCTTTTCATGTTAAAATTTCACATAACCTGTTTATATGAAATTTTTGTGTCTGTTTCTCTTTATATATGTATTAAATAGATGCTATCCAATTATCATTAATGAAAACAGAGATAGATATAAAATTTTCACATGATCTTATTAGGACAGCGGACTAAACGTGTTTGTTGTTCCTGTTATTGATGCACATACACCTTTAAACTACGAGATTAATATTTAATTTTATTACCTAGATATATATAAAAATGTGTGAACCAATTTTTTATCATCTTTATATGGCCCCATATAAGTCTTATATATTTTTATGTGTGAAGAAATAAAATTATGTAATTTAATATAAGAAGTATTAATCCCTTAAACTATAGTCTGTAAAATTTTGTAACCAAACTGATTTCTAGGCATAATCCTTACTTTTATAGAACTTTTGTATAACGAAGTATAATTATGAAATGAGGAAGAAAATGATACTTTTGGTAAAAAATTAATTCAATTCAAAAGCTGGGCGATGAAGATCGAACTCATAACATTTAGTTATATTGGCTCTGAGATCATATAAAAAATCATTTCAACCGTTAAGTGAAGTTCTTTTTTTTTTAAATAATTTATATTATTTTCTAATGCGTCTCTTCGTACGAGAATTCATTAGACTTTAAGAGTTGGCAATGCATAAATTCATCTATCTATATTACGAAATTCCATAATATTTAATTATTTTTTAATTAAATTCAGAGAATCAAACTCGTAACCAAATAATTTTATATTTCTCTAATAAAGTGTAGCCATCGAAGTCTCTGCCGAGGGAGAAAAAAGCTGGAAAAAAACTCTACCAAAAAAAAAAGCCAACTCAATCGAATTTTGAGGCAAGACAATTTATAAGTAATCAAAGAAAGTTGTCTTATTTTGCTTATAGTAATGGGTACTTCAGAGTGGTAAAAAAAATGGTCACGGTATGGAACATGGAAAGCGAAACACTGTAACAGCGACATTTTATTTTTGGGTGTGGTGAAATGGAGACTTGGAGTTGAATTAGGATGAGAGTGGTTAGGAGATCGCCGAATTGGCGAATTTGGAATAGGTTGCAGAGGTTAGGGGTGAAACTGGGTCAGGTCGGGGTTTATGACTTGACTTATGTCAGGCCAATTCTGACTTAGTATATTTTGTAAAATAAGTCGGACTTGAGCCTTGAAAAAACTTATTTAATAAAAAGGCCGTAGGTCCACTTTCACAACCTATAAATCTATAGACCGACCTATATTATACTATTTATTTTTAAAAAATAAAATAAAATAAGTATGCCTTGAAGAAAAAAGAAAAGATATAAATTTAATCAATTGCAATTATTTATAACTTAATTATATTCGATTATATTTTAATAGAAATCTGAATTTATTTCTTATGTAGGAGGAACCAACATCTCAACATGTTAGATTGTGTATATGAATATATTAAAAAGTTTTTGGGAGAGGTTATACTTACTACAAGCATCATGATGTGTTTGTTGGATTCATGTAGTTATATTAATTTACATAGTATGGATTTGTTTGTTGGATATGATGAAATATATGTTATTTAGTTTGAACATTTGCTTTTGATAGTGACTTAAATGTAGATTATATGAGTTTTGTAGTGATTCATGATTCTGTTTGGACGTTGAAATTATGATTTTTTGTTTAACAACAGAATTTGAGTATTTTGTAAAGTTGATTCATGGTTTTGTTTGGAAGTTAAAAATTAACAGGCCAACGGGTTAGGCCAGGCTATTTTTTT